ATGGGGCTTATCTCAGCACTGATGCAATAGGACGTTACAGGACATGAGAATGAGGAGGGATAGTTGTTCTTCATTACTGTAAAGTGAGACACTGTATCACTTTACAGATTTAGCTGTTAGATGCATGAGTTGCTACAATGGTGGTAACAGATATCCTACTATTCCAAACAACTGAGAACCTTTCTTCTTCCCTAAAAAGCTTTTAAAGTTTTTTTTAAAGTCCTCTATCCATAATATTGCTTTTTTTTTCTCAGCGAAAAGAAGTCATCTTGTCAAATCTTTTCACTTCACAAGACATTAAAGGTGGGGTAAGTGATTTCTGGTAGCCAATGTTGATATTTCAAATCACCAAAACAAACACGTCCCTACCCCAAAAGGGTCTCACCCCTATTTTGATAGCTCCGCCCCTCACATACGTATGCAACCCAGACAACGATTAGTTCTATGAAACAAAGCAAAACCAATGTTACACCGTGTCTACACCAGACGCGAGCGGCGCGACAAAATACTATAGAACTCATTATAATCAGTGATGCTATCTACACTGGATGCGGCGTGGCACGGCACGACAAATCCCCGACAGAAAACTGCTGCTGCGTTCTATTTATGACGTATTGACACAAATTTCAAATGATTTTCAACGGTCGCTTTATCCCGTCCACTGTAGACAGACTTTAGCTGTTGCGGCGCGGCGCGACAACTGTCCCGTCCGGTGTAGGCACGGTGTTACTCACCTATCTAGAAGAAACAAAACAACCTCGGCGTCCGATCGCAGGCCTTCCGCTCCTTGAGTTCTCTCCAGCGCTGGAAAGCTGATGACGATCATCATGTCAGGACCGCTTCCCACGTATCGACGAGGACATGAAAGGTTCAGTAGGCTTTTTGCTTTAAATGAATGGTTATTGTCATGGTGTAAAGAACAGAAACTGCTCTTTGTTAATAACTGGAATCTTTTCTGGGAGCGTCCTAGGCTTTTTCGCGCTGATGGCCTCTTGCCTTATCGTAAGCCTTCTTTTGTTCCGCAGACGTCTTCCTCTTTCGTTTTTTTTATCCGCCATCTCTATCTTTCTGTCGCTCGGCTCAAGGCTAATGTCTGTCCTGTGCACTGAGCGCTCTCTCCTCCGTATCATGAGTAGACACGCCCCTTAATGCTGATTGGCTACAAGTTTGTTTTGGTACTCGGCCTGACTCAGTTTTCTAAAGCGTTTTTGAAAAAATACATACCCCACCTTTAATTGATGGTCTGTAGTCATATGGATTACTTGTGGATTATTGTGATGTTTTTATCAGCTGTTTAGACTCTCATTCTGACGGCACCCATTCACTGCAGAGGATCCATTGGTGAGCAAGTGACGTAATGCTAAATGTCTCTAGTTTCTCATTACTAGCAGATACATAATGAGATGTTTAAAATATTCTTCTTTCCTACTGATTATGTGAAGCATTGCTAATATGCGAGTTATGAAATTCTTCATAAATTATCTGATAATCTGTGCAATTCTGAGCAAACCAACCTTTTGTACATGACTGTTTACTCAGTCTCTTGGGAAAATTAATGTACAGTTAAAATAGAACTTCTTTCTTGAATATCCTTGAATATAATATAATTCTCCTTTCAGTCGCAGACAAGAATGCATTCTTCTTTGAAGCCAAAATAACCACATATCACTTTGAAAAAAACTGATTATAGATTCCTAAGTACATAATATTCCTCATCTTGCACAACCTGAAAGTGTAGCAAGATTTAATTTGACTTGCTTACCAGATTCAGTATATTCCCACAGGCCTCGAAATCCACAGAGGCAGCATTTCTGTAACTTGAACTCTGGTTTTCTTCAATGACCCTTACTGTTTTGTTACCCATTGACTTCCATGAACAAAAATACATTAGAAGTCAATTTGAACTGAAACTGTTTGGCTTTCTTCAAAATATATTCTTTTTATGTTCCACAGAAGAAGGAAAGTCAAACAGGTTTGGAACAACATGAGTAAATGATTTCATTTTTGGGCTGAACTATTCAAGTAAAAAAGTTGCTCATTTTATTGTCATCAGCATGAATTTCCTCAACAACCACATGATTTGAAGTATTCATGTCCAGTGAAGGATGTTTGTTCAAATCCCTATGTACTGTATTAGTGATGCTTGCCTTAGCCAACACCACTAATAAAAGGCCATTTCAGTGTTGTCACCAGCTGCACCATCCTAAGCAAAAACCTCTCTGCAGAAATTGCTTACAACATCCTTGAGGCCAAACTGGATCTGTGGCGTGGAACAAACCGAGTTTGCAAGATTCTGCTTCACACAGATAAGAAGCTCTGTGAAGGAGCAGTCCTATTAAAACCAGACCCCAGTATGCATGAATTCAGATTTGGCTTTTCATTTTGTCTTTCTGGGCACCTTCTCAATCTCCTCAATGCATTCAGCACTAGAAATTATAATGTGAAACAGCAAGACCATTGTAGTTCAGCCAAGCAGGGTTATTATAGTTAACTAAAACCATAAAACAATTTTTGGTACTTGAAATAAAATATGAAAAAAAAAATAGTAAACAAGAATGATTACAGCTTGCTGCCATGGCAGCTTTTCACATTTTTATTTAGTTTACCTTGATGTACTAAAATAACTAAAACTAAAACTGAAATAGAATTAATGAAAGCTATGTAGACATATATATATATATATATATATATATATTATATATATATATATATATATATATATATATAAATTAAAAATGACAAAAACACAAAACAAAATGACTAATATTTAAACTAAAATTGAAATAAAAACGGAAAATATGACAATAATAATTAATTCAAAATATTACAAAAAACTCAACGACACTAAAATAAGATGCAGCTAAGATGCATGATTATAAGAACTACTGCAGGTTATGGACTAAACATAAGAAGATTATGATTTACATTTTGTAAAGTGTAAATATGATTGTTTTGAGAGTTTGCAGAAGCCCTGGATGATTATGATTTACTGACAGCAGTTGCATGAGGCCTCGATAACCCACAATGAGCATTTCACTAGAAGCTGGAGTAGACTGGAAAAGCTGATTGAAAACATTATTTTTGCAAATCTGTTTGGTGATGCTTACGGTGCAGAAGAAACACAGCTGTCAAGAATTGTGAAAGAGTAAAACAAAAAACAAACTCATGTTCTCAGCAAAGTAATTCTATTTATTGTTCAAAGGAAGTCTGTGGAGAATTACAGCAGTACACACTTGACTGAACAGCTGCCTTTATCACATAACACAGTACAGACAAGAATGAGGTCAAAACTTATATGAATAGCGAAATTAGTAAAAAATCACTATGGCTCCCACGTGGTGTTTATGGCTAATTCTTGTGGTTACAGAAGGCCTGAAAATTAAACCGAAAGGGAGTTCACTCCTTTTTCTCTGATAAAATTATAAATGTATAAACACCCACTCAATATCAGTAAGAGAAGGATAACAGAGGGAAGTTGCTAACAGGCACACACATTTTGACAGATCTGGGAGAAGAGGAGAAAACAGGCTGCAGTAAGACTCAGAAATGTGACAACTTAATATGCAGAGGAAGAAACTATTGAGAAAAAAAAAAGAATAGTGTTATATTGTCATTTGGGTTGTTGAAAAAAGGAATACAAAGTAAACTGAGAACTAGTTTGTATATTTCACAATTTTGTCATTATTTTTCTATGCTCTTCCAACCATAAAGACTATAGGAAATGTATGGAAAACCAGTAAGAAATATTTCCCTATATATAATTGCATCCGAGTTTTATTTGTTTAAATAGCCTGCTCAGGAAGCGTTTATAATTGATTCTATATGTCTATATATAAATATATTTCTGTATATATATATATATATAATTTTTTTTCTGTATATTGTTTTTAAAAATAAATCTATTTAAACCCAGTTGGGTGTTGTTCTGCATTTGATTTTCTTTCCAGTTATGTCACCAAAGCTCTCCATGTATTAAATTCGAAAACTACTAATTTGTCCCGGCTTGATGTTTGCCTATCAGGCAAACCAGTATCATTCCCTTTAAAAGAGCCAAATCAAACCCAGTATCAATGGTAAATTTAGCGGCATCAGCACCAATGCACTTCCCAATTTAGTACATACAATCAAGACAAATTTGCTCTCAAGATGCAGGAGGAACAAAATAAAACTCACCAGCCCGCGTGAACCTCAATCTTCACAGCGCGCCGGCGGAGCACGGTTTTATAGCACCATTTGAACTGTTTGTACATTGTTGCTTGAACTGTATTGTGTGTCCACAAGTTGAACTCTATAACAACCTCCAATTTTTACACTGTTTGAGCCGAGTCTTTTATATATATATATATATATATATATATATATA